CATCCCGATCCCAAGATTTCGGGAACAAGTTAACAAAAGTAAACAAAAATTTGACATGCGAACAAAAAATAAACAGGTGAATAAAAGGTAACCAAAAAATTGAGTAAAGATTAAAAAACCTACCCCAGCTCATCACTACTCGTGCAGTCCTCATCCACATTATCATCGCTGGGCATTGGCAAGTGAAACGTGACTGGTCTGCCCAATTGTTTATTGCTTCCTTGTTTCTGTTTACACGTGTTTACGAGTTTACAATCTCGCAATCGATCCACCTCTTTATCAGATGATGCCGATAAGATATTCTTGATTTCATTGTCAACCTCCTGGTCGCATTCACTCACGGATCGAACGTTCAACACCGTCGTCGCACCACATGCTTTCACCCGCTCTATTGTCATCTTCTTCTGAAATTTCTTTCTTTACTCTCTACTCTTTATCTCAACCACTAAACAAATATAAACCTTGACAACATGAATGCATGTAATTCATCGTAATTAGAAGTGTGTATTATCGTTATTTTAATGTCGTTCTCAAGAACGAACCATCTAACGAGATGATTTACAACAAATCATTCCGTGAATGAAACAAGACTGCACCGCAAACTTGAACTGACATGGGATCATCTCTTACGATTAGCATAATCAATAACAATAACTTACATTATTATACAAATCACTCACTATCAACCGTTTTCCAAGCAAATACGATTCATTCAACAAACTATGCTCACGGTCCAACTCTAACTAGCTCCTTGCGAAAAACTTTCGAAATGAATGCCATTTTCTGAAGCATTTAAATACAAAATTCGGTAGTCCAATGGATTGATTCCTTCTGCGTTCATCATGCATAATTGAAGCAACTATAATATGCTAAAATTTAAAAGCTGTTCAAGTAAATGCAAATTGAAAGAGTAGAGGTTATTCATGTGCGTATGGGACAAAGGTGAAACTAACTTAAAACGTTCGTCTCAATCAACGAGTATAATTTATTACATATGTCAACTGCTATGTGCTACAATT